TCGCTCATACGGAATTGGACGTGCGGGTGGTCCAAGCTTGTCACACACTGCTTTACGTTTTCAGGAACATTTCCACAAAAACCCGCCTAGTAATGCTGTGATTCTTAGTGTCGTCGAAAAATTTCGAAGAACTGGTAGTGTTTTGACACAGCGAAAGGGCTTTTCAGGTCGCCCAGTTACTGTCTGTACAAATGAAAACAACGGAAGAGTGTTGCAGCAAGTGTTACAGTCACCGAAAAGAAACCTAATGCGAGCTTCTCTTAAACTGAATATTAGCAATACGTCAATGAGAAGAATGTTCAAAAATATTGGTGGTTTTCCCTACAGGATACAAACTGGACAACCATTGGATCGTATAAACAAACTAGCCAGAGTTCAGTACTGTGCTTCAATGTTAGCAATATGCTATGAAGAACCTGATTTTCTGAGTGATGTATGGTTTACAGATGAATGTCATGTGCACCTTAATGGTTACATAAACAAGCAGACAACACGTTTCCTTGGACGTGCACGTCCTGACAGGATGGCGCAACCAGTCACACTGCCGTTAACAACATTGCTTTCCTCCGACAAACCTTTGGCTACCGTCTCATCTCCCTTAGAACAAACTTTCCTTACCCAGCCCACTCCCCCGATCTTACAACACCGGGTGCTTACGTGTGGGGAATGTTGAAAGAAAACATCATCCGTGAGGACCCACCATCTACCATCGTTCAACTCAAAGAAAAAATAACCATGTGTATTAGGAGAATGGAACAACCCCTATTCATAAAAATGGTGCAAAACCTACAAGAACGGTACGAGTGTTGCCTCAAACTGAAAGGGGCTCATATTGAACATGTTATTACCCGTGTTTAGCCGATTTTGCTTCCTTTGACTTATATGTATTGTTAAAATTTGTACATAAAATAAAAGTATTACCATTAAAAGTATTAAAAGTATTTCAGTACTGTTTATTTTGGCTAATACTGTATTTAATTATACACTGCATTTCAACTTATTAGACCGAAGAGAAACTATTTATAAAATGTTCTTGGTATTTTTGAGGTTATGTAACATAGTTTTACATAGGTAATATGCAACAATTCACCCATAGAAGCACCCGTCAACTAAACTGACATGAATTGTTTACTTCTCTGGCCGGAAACTAAACATTCAAGTTAAATCCTGTCGAAGGCAATTCCCCCGTGACGATGTGACTTGTCCCCCTGAGACCAGGCCGGACCATCCGGCGGCCGATCCAACCGAAGCCGAACTAGAGGGAGTCTACTGTATACAAATGTTACCGTACTTATATTATAAATGTATAAATTATAATGAATATTAAATGCATCAATAACTGTGTGTGTAGTATGAGAGACGTTTAGTCGCAAGGCAGCGCCCGAGCGTCGGGGTCCCAAATTTTGCTTCCTCTTCTACCTGATTTATTTCCAAAACTATTCATCATTAATTTTTCAAAAAAATATATGTTATGATTCAACTCAAGCTCTCAAACTTTGCCGCTGACGAAACTTTCCTGACCAAAAAATAAAAAAATTCTAGATCACTTACTTTTTCATGTTCTTATTCTAAATTTAATTATTTCTTTGGGTTTAACGGCTGTTTAAATTACAATAAAATTATTTTTTGGATTCCAACCTTACTGTCAGTAAGAAGCACTAATTTAGAGTAGCTGTGCCAAATTTGGTAATTTTAAGTCTACTCTAAGTGTGTCTAATCATCGTAAAAGGTGATCTACCGCTATATGCAGCAGTTGCCGCCACTTGCCCGTGTAAGTGGTGGGGGATTGGCTACAATGCCCGCAACGCTTGCTGGATATACGTAGCCCCTCTATTTCTATTCTGTGCTCTCTGCATGAAACCTTTGATTTATAGCAAATTTTATAGTCTTTCCAATGATTTTAACTATAACTCTCTAAAGTAATTGGTTTTGTTTTTATTGCATAAATTGTGGGGAAAGTCTAATAAAAAAGAAAAACACAAAACTCCCTATTACAGCCAAACGGTAAAAAATCGGACATAGGTTTATAGGAACTTTTTTGTTCCTTTTAGTGAGTAGAACCTACTGGCAAAGTTAACACGCTCAGTAGAAACTCACCCTGTATATGTGTCAGTAAACGCGATAACTCGAGTAATTTTTGTCCGATTTTGATGAAATTTGTTTCAAAGGGTTAAGTCGGGATAAACTGAATGAGTTTGCGAACCAGCATGATCGGACCATGGGAATGGGGTTTTATGGGGTAATAATTGATTTTTCTAATTTTTGACACTCAAAACACAAAATTTCCCAATTTTTATCTAGAGCTTAAAAAAACAAATAATTTAGTATATCAAAGTGTTTTTGTACGGTTATTGTTAACGGAGAAAATTCAAAAAATATTAATAAAAAATTCCTGATGTTATTCTTATGGAGAATATTGTAAAATGTTTTAGTTTGCTTGTTTATGGATATATTTTGATCAAACTTGGCAAATTTATTTATTTTATACCAAGCTAATAATATTTTACTAAAAACCACACTTTATTAGTTTCCTTGGGGCAGCAAACCTAGGTACTCGTTAAACCTAATGTTATTTAAATAGATTTAATTGAAAATCAATTAAGACAAATGGAAATTCGCTTAGTCGGCAGGTTTGCTGCGGTGGGGGTATTTTAACTTAAAAGGGGGAAGGGAGGAAGTAAGAGGGGGAGGGGCGGGGACTTTTCAGAAAAGTTCCTTATATTATGATCAACTACAATCCGTGAAAAAAATCAGCCTTTCACTAATTAGTTTGACAAAGCACTATTTTGTCCCTTTATTGTCGCCCAGTAAATGCATTATTGCTTGAGACTAAAATGACAAGTGCAGTGAATAAAAAAGGCATGATGCTTGGACTCAAATATCAGTATTATCTTGCTATGATCACTGGGTACTACTTGAGGGAATGATAATCCCAACAGAAATTGTTGACAAAAACTTCATAGAGAAGCTAAAGTTTTTTTGATGCACCAATTTTAGGCTGAGAAAGAATAATCTCCACCCCATCCCATCAAAGTACATAGGAGCAAAGAGGCATCAACATAATATATGACTGGAGATGAGCACCATAAAAGGTATGCTGATGTCTTTCACTGTTCCGGTAGTACAGTAGACCCTAACCTTAACGGACCCTAATCAAGCCATATAAGATAATCCTAGATTATATTACAAAAATAGCAGCTGTTTTCAGAAACAAGATTCCTTGGAAGCGGCGGTTAAACCTAACTGCTGTCAAAGCAAGGTAGGTTAAAACAAACTATAATATTTTACAATCAAGGGCGGATAATCCAACTTTTGATTAATGCGAGGTCGGTTAAGAGGGGGTCTACTGCAACAACCCTAGGGCTTTTATATTTGTCAGCGGAAATTTGTTGTAGCACTACGAAGAGGTCAGAATACTGTTTACCTCAGCAGAGACGGATTCATACATATTTCCCCCCTAGGCACTATTCTTAGTGCCACCCCCCTTTATAGTATATTTCGTACCTAGGACCGAAAATGAGGTTTTGCCGGCTCGTAGTTTATTAAGTTCAGGACCAAGTCAAGAGCTGCAAAACCCTTTCGGACCGTGGTACAACGCCATTTTTCACCACACTATACAAAAATTGAGGGTCTTAAGTTGTCATTTTCACGCAAATAATGCACATTAACAGTTAACACAACTACAATAAGGTTATGTGAAGATATAATCTAGAGGAACCAGCAAAAATAATAATAAATAGTTGCTACGCAGAGATGACACAATTAAAATGCATGTGGATATTGCTTGTATATTTTATTTTAATTACATTGTTATTGTTGTTTTAAGTAAGTTAGTGAACAGCTGGTTTTGTGACCCTAGGGCTGTAAAGACCAAATCGGTCCCCAATGACGATGACAGCTGCCATTTTGGTCCTGGACAGCAATTACCGTACATAGCTTTCAGCCTCCTACAAACGTTTTGTAAAATGGCTAAAAACATCTTAGTGTGGTGAAAAAGTAATTATTTTTTGAATATAAACCAAGTCAAACCCATTTATAGTGTTTATAAAAAACACTGCAAGTTATTTTTTTCATTTTAATTCAAATTGAAAAGGTTTACCATCCCACAAACTTTAAAACACTTAATATTAAAATACAGTACTTGAGTTGAATATAAAGAAATAACGACTTTAAATTTATATCTTATTACATAAATATCTTTGTAAAGTCTTCATTACGTTGGTTTCCTGATACTTTTAAACATTGCAAACTTATCTATCTCATCATTGCCCATTGACTGTTGTTTTCTGTCACCACCGTGCCGTCGCGGTCGCGCCTACAGTCGGCGGACAGTGGCAGCGGTGGCAGCCGGTGGCAGCCGTAAGCGGCGGCAAACGTAAGTGGCAGCACTCGTGAGTGGCGGCAAACGTAAGTGGCGGCACTCGTAAGCGGCGGCAAACGTTAGTGGTGGCAAACGTAAATGGCGGCACTCGTAAGCGGCGGCAAACGTAAGTGGTGGCAAACGTAAGCGGTGGCACTCGGAAGCGGCGGCAAACGTAAGTAGCGGAACTCGTAAGCGGCTGCAAACATAAACGGCGGCAAATGTAAGTGGTGGCAAACGTAAGTGGTGGCAAACGTAAGCGGCGGCAAACGTAAGTGGCGGCACGCGTAAGCAGCAAGAAAAACGTAATGGGTGGCACTCGTAAGCGGCGGCACACGTAAACAGCGGCACCCGTAAGTAGCGGAAAAAATGTAAGCGGCGGCAAACGTAAGTGGCGGCACTCGTAAGCAGCGAGAAAAACGTAAGGGGCGGCACTCGTAAGCGGCGGCACTGGTCAAGGGCCTGCCGCCCCTGACGGGTGCCGCCCCTAGGCACTGGCCTAGTGTGCCTAGTAGGAAATCCGTCCCTGTACCTCAGTACCTGCCATATGACTTCACCATTGTCATAAGTGGAATAAAAAGGTAAATCTATTTTGTGCAGAAAATTTTACTTTCTAATCTTGCTTTAGTTTGATACATACTTCTTGGGAGTGTCCTCTGTCTCTGAGTTGGATTCAAGTTGCTCCAATGTTTGGCTCTGGCTGAAGGATCTAGCAGTATCCTGAGACTGTTGGCTGTATTCAGCTGACGCCAAGGCTTTCTATGAAAAAAAAAAGCACTGGTCATAATCTACAGCTCAATTAATTGTCTCAGCCATTGAGATAGCCTAAACTCAATCTTTCTCTCACACAGCTGAAACTCTGGACAAACAGTCTTATTAAGAGACTAGCAACAGAGCCCGTTGTGGTTAAATACAATGGTCTATAGTAAAATAATGGTTATGAAATCCATACACCACTTTACTCACTAATATTACAGATTAAGCACATAGCATTAGAATCACACACTTAACATAAGGAACACACTTTAAACACAAATGCAAATTGTTAACAACAACATTTAATCAAAGAAAAATAGATTAAATAACAATATAACAATAAGCTGTTAAATTATTAACACATGTTTCATATGATTCAGGGGCGGTTCCAGGGCTGAGTTTCGGGAGGGGGGGCTATTACATGGGGGGGTCATCGGGGGGTCAGGGGGTTCTCCCCCGGAAATTGTTGAAAATTATGTGCTGAAATTCGCGTTTTTAAAGCTATTTTGAGACCCTAGCTTTAAGATTTTAAAAAATGTAACGTTTGAGGTTGTTGCCTTATTAAGAACTAGCTGTACCCGCGGGCTTTGCCCCGTAACTTCAAAAGTATTCGCATGGCTCATTCACGTCCTGGTTGAAGTTCGTTTGCTACGCTCACTCACCTTTAGGTTGAAGCTCGTTCGCTGCGCTCACTTGCCTTCAGGTTAGCTCGTTCGCTACGCTAACTCGCCTCCAGGTTGAAGTTCGTTCGCTACGCTCACTCACCTTTTGGTTGGAAATAAGCTGTTGTCATAAATAAAAAAAAAAAAAAATAGTGCTGCACCCTGTTGGTAATCCTTGTAACTTTAATGCTATTGAACATCGTAGAACAGAACCAACTTGTTTAATTGAAACAGCTGTTAAGATTCATTAATTCCTTTTAAATATGAAAAACCATAAGGTTAAAATGGGGAACTACAGAGCCACTGGGGCGGAGCCCGAAAGGATTTTTGGGATAATGATATGCTTTAATGTTAATCGGGAATGTGAGCTATCATCATGCCAAATTTCAGCCCAATCCGTCCAGTAGTTTATGCGTGATTGAGCAACCCACACACACACAAACTCACAAACTTTCAGATTTATAATATTAGTAAGATATTTACCAGGGGACCGAGCTTTGCTCGGAGAAAATCATTAGTTCACTCTAAAAACAGTCTTAGTATCGGAGATACATAAATCTGTTCCCAAACTCAACACGGCTCGCCTTTGCAACGTCCTACACCATTTCCTACGTCATGGACCTGTTTCCCTCCATTCCCATAGCACTTTAGGATTGTAGATACCTTAATCTAATCGTTATTAACAGTTCCCACACTCCTGACAGCTCGCCTTGACTACTTCCTTCACCACTTCCAACGTAGCGGACCTGTTTTTCTCCCTTTCCATGGCATTTCAGAATTGCAGATACGTTAATCTAAGCGTCATAAACAGTTCCCACGCTCCATACTAATCACTTTACTACTTCCTTCACCACTTCCTACGTCGCAAACATGTTTCCTTCCCTTCCCATAGCATTTTAGGATAGCCCATACCCTTATCTAATCGTCATAAACAGTTCCCACACTCCGGACAGCTCGCCTTGACTAATTCCTTCACCACTTCCTACGTCACAGACCTGTTTCCCTCTCTTCCCATAGCATTTTAGGATTGCCCATACCCTTATCTTATCGTCATAAACAGTTCCCACACTCCGGACAGCTCGCTTTGACTACTTCCCTCACCATTTCCTACGTCACGGGCCTGTTTCCTTCCCTTTCCCATAGCATTTTAGGATTGCCCATACCCTTATCTAATCGTCATAATAGTTCCAACACTCCGGACAGCTCGCCTTGACTACTTCCTTCACCACTTCCTACGTCGCGGACCTGTTTCCCTCCCTTCCCATTGCATTTAAAGATTGCAGATACCTTAATCTAATCGTCATAAACAGTTCCCACACTCCGGACTACTCGCCTTGACTACTTCCTTCACCACTTCCTACGTCGCGGACCTGTTTCCCTCCCTTCCCATAGCATTTTAGGATTGCAGATACCCTAATCTAATCGTCATAAACAGTCCCCACACTCCGGACTGCTCGCATTTACTACTTCCTTCATCACTTCCTACGTCACGGACCTGTTTCCCTCTATTCCCATAGCATTTTATGATTGCCTTTACTACTTCCTTCACTACTTCCTACGTCACGGACCTGTTTCCTTCCCTTCCCATAGCATTTTAGGATTGCAGATACCTTAATGTATTCGTCATACAACAGATCCTAGACTTCACACTGATACCCTTGACTACAATGTATCGAGTAATCCTAACCTTTCAGAGGGCGCTTTGGTTTTTAAAACGGGAAAGGGCGCACCCGGAGGTTACTTCCGGGTCTATAAAAACAAACATTCATGAAGTAAAATTTGTATTTTAGTACACAAATTAAGTTTTATTTTTAATTTTAAACATCAAAAATATGTTTAGTGAACTCTTAATTGTACAATAATTTGATTTAGATTTTATAAATATAAAATTAAACTATTATTCTATCAAGTTTTCTAACATAAAAGTATATGAAGAAATCTTTTACAAGAATATATTCAAGAAGTTAATTTAAATTTTACCACAATGTCCTATAATGTGGTTTTAATTGAAAACACTCTCAATACCCGATGTTTTAAGTAATTTAAGATAATGGGTATCTTAATACTAAATGGCTCTGTACATACGTCGTTCGTAAATCTCCCTTTCAGCATGGCTAAGAGTGTTGCAATTTGAAATTTAACTTCTTCTGTCATCTTGTAAAGACTATATATTTACTAAATAATGACATGAATCGTAAAAAAATAATTATTTATAGTAATAGTTTACACGCAATAATCAACGCACACACTAAACTAGAGGTCGCATCACGGAAGTTGCCTCCAGGCTGTACGAGAATCGGCAGAGCGCACACGGAAGTTACTTCCAGCCTCTTACAAAACTGAACAAAACTAACAAATATCAATCAATCAATCAATCAATCAATCATGGTGCGTGAGGTACAGTGACACTCACACTGCCAACACCACTCAAAATAATATAATCGCGAAAAATAAAACATCCCTGGAGGTTACTTCTGGATGAGTGAGGAGTTAAGATGGCGGACAGTGAAAAGTTGTTGTGTGGCTGCTGCCAACTTTTAATTAAAAACACTGACAAAACCCTAAAATGTGAGGGGTTTTGTGAAATAAAATATCATATTAGATGTGTCAGTGTACTAGTAAAGGAATACGACATGATAAAAAAATTAGCCAACAAGGTGAAGTGGTTTTGTGAGAAGTGTTCTAGCAGAAGCAGACCTAACCTAGCAAGTGACATAGAGTCGTCTGATAATGAGACTCTGCATAAACTTTTCAGTATTGTTAAGGACTTGGTTACTGAAAATTTGACAATCGCAAGTAAGTTAAATCTTGTTATGAGCGACTATGACGAGATAAAGGACAAGCTTAACCTTTCTAACCCTAGTTGTATACCGCTGGTGAAGGTGACCAAGCCTTGTGTGCCTCCTCCAGATGCAAGTGTTGATAGTTCATTTCTGGCTGAAGGCCTAGCAAACAATCAACAAGCTATCATCAACAGCACGAATAACAGCAGCATAACCAACATCTCCCCGTCTAAAGTTGTCTCGGGCAAGGTAAAATACGCGGAAATCGTCCGTCAACAGCCTAGGCCTAGGTCAACGGACTTCTCTCTATCTAAGTCAAGTATGCCTAGTGAAAATAATGACAAAGTAGATAGTTTCACGATTGTAAAGTCTAAGAAGCAGTTCAGACTCAAAAATAAACACAGTCTACTAATCAAGGAAAATAGGGATGGTAGTGGCAGAAAATTTAAAAATAGCAAGCAACTTATAACGGGTAGTAGAGCCGTTTTTGAATCTCAGGAACATAACCTCAAGACAGTTTCAAGAACAGTACTGTATTTCTATTTATCTCTAGGCTGAGTCCTTCTACACAGTCGAGTGATATTTCAGATTTTCTCAGTGGACAATGTGCGAATGAGGATTTGGTTCCCCGAGCCGGAGACCCCTTGCACTTAGTAGGTAAAAAATCTAGACCTATCTCCCTTCGCATCCTTCAGCAGAACATGCAGTGTCTGAATAATAAAACCAACGAATTGGAAGTTATTGTGAACAACTCTGACCTCAACGTGCTTTGCCTCTGTGAACATTGGTTGTCAGCTGGTCAGGTTGGTGTAGTAAAAATCACTGGTTTTACCCTGATAACTGCCTTTTGCCGCACTGTTCATATACACGGTGGGACTTGTATTTACATCTCCAGTGATTTGTTCCAGTTTTTCACCGTCCTTGACGTCGATAGGTTCTGTGAAGAGCTTCAGTTTGAAGTTTCAGCAATAACATCAACTGATCTTAATACCGTGATTTTGTCCTTATATCGCTCACCTGACGGATCCTTATCACAATTCCTTGACAGTCTTGAGGATCTACTACAGTACCTACTATCGACCAAACCAGGCTACGAGTTCGTAGTGGCGGGTGACTTCAATGTTGACTTTGGTTCTGGAGACGCAGATGACTGTGAGCTGCAAAACTTGCTGCGCTCTTTCAATATGTATTGCTCGAATCTTGAACCCACTAGGGGCAGAAAATGCCTTGATAACATTGCTGTGAATTTCCCCAAAGACTTCTTCTCTGTCAGCGTTGAAAACTTTTCTCTATCAGATCATTTGGCGGTCTGTTCAAACCAATCAGATCAATTCAGGCAGAACAAACTTCAAACCAAGCTGCAAAGAGAATTTATAGCCTTTTTAATCAAGCTAAATTCATCTCTAATGTTAGCAGCATAGACTGGCCAGCTCTGGCGACTCAGGACGTGCATGCAGGCGATGAAATTTTGTCAGCTATGTTCAGCCGGCTTCAATTAGTGGTCATTAACTGCTTTCCCCTTAGGACAACTTCTATTAAAAATTTTCAAAGTAAAATC